GGGAGGGGGAAGAGGGGAGGAAGGGGGAAAATGAGGACCTCATGTCGGGGGCTTAAGTGGAAAGGAAATGTTTTGAGAATGATGAGGGCAATGAATGTACAAATATGCTTTACACAATTGATGTATGTGTAGATTGTGATAAGAGTTGCATGAGCCCCTAAAAAAATTATTTTAAAAAAAGCTTTTAAAAAATTGTGATTGATAACTCATATTTGGGGAGGACAGAGTTCAATCCATAACAAGGGGCATAGGGCAAGCACATGGGAGCTGGTCTCATAGTATTTGGAACCGGAAGGGCCTTAGAGATCTCCCATTTCAACCAACTCACAAGAATACACCAACAATCACACACACACACACACACACACACACCACACACACAGGAGCCTCGGGATCTTGTTTGATGGGAAAGAGTCTCTTTGGATTTTGCTTCATTTTATGTTGTTCAAGTCCTGGCTCTGCCCTTGACCACTGAGTGACCTTGAGAAAGGCCCTTTCTCTTTTCCAGACTTCCGTTTCTTGATGGGATGGAGATGTGCATCCCGCCCACCCCCCACTGCTACAAAACCCTCTGAGTGTCATTCTCCACCCAATGACACTATCACACCATAAGTAGTGGCATGCCCCTTCCACTTCAGTTGGTGGTAGAAATACAAGGTGGAGTAAAATAGTTCCCTGACATATGCCTGAACTCAGGACCCACGTACAACTGACTATAATCCCACAGCCACGTAGAATGGTGGTATTGTTACCGGGTGCCATCCAGTGGATTCCGACTCATAGCAACCCTATAGAACTGCCTCGTAGGGTTTCTGAAGATGCCACTTCATGAGAGCAAATTGTCATGTGTTTTCTCCCACAGAACTGCTCATGAGTTCCAATTGTCCACCTTTGGGATAGCAGCTGGACAAGGGGACCATTGTGTCACCAGGGTGCCTTTAGACTAATGATAAACCCAAACTGTGGCCGCCAGATTGATTTTTGACTCACAGCAACCTTAGAGAACCAAGTGAGACCGCCTCCTAGGGTTCCCAAGGCTGCTGCTTGTGGGAACAGACCGCCACCTTTTTCTCCCGCCGGCACCGTGCTTTCAGCGGGTCTCCTTCCTTGGAAGGATACTGATTGGCACGTGTTGGGGAAGAGAAGAGCAAAACCAACTCAGTCCTTGGGAAAATATGAGAGACTTTCCAGTGGGGTTTGAAGTATCCATAGGAGTTTGCCTGGGGAAGCTGGACTTGCTCTAAAATCCATCGTAACAGACCGGCAACTCCACCTAGCAGCTGCATAGCTAGCTTAACTAACCCCGGCTTCCCTTTGGCGAGTCATGAATAACGATGTAAACCTCTTAGGACAATGATTCTCAACCTTCCTAATGCTGCAACCCTTTCATACAGTTCCTCATGTGGTGACCCCCCTCCCCCCAACCATAAAATTATTTTCGCTGCTACTTCATAACTGTAATTTTGCTACTGTTATGAATCGGGAGACCCTGTGAAAGGGTCGTTCAACACGCAAAGGGGTCTGGCCCACTGGTTGAGAACTGCTGTCTTAGGAGGAGCCCGGATGGCACAGTGGGTTACAAATTAGGCTGCTCATCACAAGGTCAGTAGGCTCGAAACCATGGCCTGCTCCATGGGAGAAAGGTGATTCTTTCTAGTCCCATGAAGAGTGGCAGTGGGCAGTTCTAGCCTGCCCTATAGGGTCACTATGACTTGATGACCGTGAGTCTGGGCCCTTTGGGTACCTCTTAGACGATGGTGAGTATCAAGGGAGAAAAGTCATGTAAGGAGCTCAGCAGGTAGCACGGGGGGCTGTTGTTGTTATCATTGCTGGGCTCTGTTCCCAATGCCCCAGCTTCCTAGGTCTGTGACCCTATGCCAGTGGACTGACCATGCGGAGCTTCAGCCTCCTCACCTGCCGACCGCCTGATGGAAGTGTCAGCTTCACTTGATTCTGAGCATCGAATGAGAGCACGTGCAAAGCACTTAGCACACTCTGTAATGTAACAGGTGGTGGGTACTGTTACAGTGTTTGCTGGCAGCACTGGGCTGTGTGTGCTCTGTAACTCACCTATACCTTCTATTCCCCCCACCCCCACCCCAGGTATCAGATCCACACGGGGCTCCAGCACTCCATCATCCGACCCCGGCAGCCCAACTGCCTGCCCCTGGGGCTGGTGACACTGCCCCAGAAGCTGCAGGAGGCGGGGTACTCCACCCACATGGTGGGCAAGTGGCACCTGGGCTTCTACCGGAAGGAGTGCCTGCCCACCCGCCGCGGCTTCGACACCTTCCTGGGCTCGCTCACAGGGAATGTGGACTACTACAGCTACGACAACTGCGACGGCCCCGGGGTGTGCGGCTTTGACCTGCACGAGGGGGAGAGTGTGGCCTGGGAGCTCAGTGGCCAGTACTCCACGCTGCTGTACGCACAGCGGGTCAGCCACATCCTGGCCAGCCACGATCCCCGCAGGCCCCTCTTCCTCTATGTGGCCTTCCAGGCGGTGCACACGCCGCTGCAGTCCCCGCGGGAGTACCTCTACCGCTACCGCGCCATGGGCAACGTGGCCCGGCGCAAGTACGCGGCCATGGTGACGTGCATGGACGAGGCCGTGCGCAACATCACCGGGGCCCTCAAGCGCTACGGCTTCTACAATAACAGCGTCATCATCTTCTCCAGCGACAACGGCGGCC